AGTTCGGTTTGTGCAATCCCCTGCTCACGCCCGACGTGTTGTTCGCCACTGTCAATATCACAGACATTCTGGTGTTGTGATGACACTCACTATAGATAGGTTTTATTTTTCATTTTCATCTCAAGAATGTAGTGTAGCATGTGTGCTATATATTATGTACAATCAAAGTAGCACTTTCATATATCGTAGTGTGCCATGAGTTCTGTGTGGATGCGCTGGATTGTGTGAGAAGATAAACTCTCTGCAAAGTGCAAATGACAGAACAACTTTGATGAAGTGCCGTTGAAGAATTGAGTACCACCAATGCTATAATTGCAATCTTCGATTCCATTGGTCCTGGAAAATGGGACAGTGTCTAAGTTGGAATGTATCAAAATGGAGTTTACGTATAGAGTGAATAGGCCTTCTGAATTCCGAGCGTAACTTATGACACACTTTGTACCCAAGAGATCCGTCATACTCGACACAGGTTTATCCAAAGCCGCCGATAATTGGCTGACTACAGACGAAACGGGTATGTTGAATGATGAATGGCCGGGACGCGTGAAGTAGTTGCCGCTTATGTGGGTGGCAGTGAACAACACGTCCAAACTATCCAAGCTGAAATTTCCGACAGTATCGATATCGAATGCCTTCAATGCCATGTTTCTAGGGTCAGGTGCGTCCACTTGAATTACTTGGAACATTGCAAAAGACATGTTGTCGTGAAACAGATTGACGAATCGTTCTCTAATGGAAACTTCGCTGGGTTGTGTAATGTTGAGGTAGAAGTGATCGTCTCGGAACATGTCGATGCTGTTCACGTTGATTCTCTTGTCCTTCATGTCAACGAGATTTATCCCTCTGTATCTGTTTCTGCTCACCCTGGTGACGGATTCAAATCTGCTAGGATGAGAGTATATGTAGAGGTAGGCGTTTCTCCGAATGAGAGGTAGTAGATGAAACGGATCGGATAGGTTCTGATTTGATTGCGGACCCATGGGACCTCTGGTTCCTTGAGGACCTATGGGGCCGATGATTCCTTGGAGACCCACGGGACCTCTGTTTCCTGGAGGACCGGTTGGACCGATGGTTCCTTGGGGACCCATGGGACCTGTGGTTCCTTGATCACCTTGCACACCACGTTCACCTTGTGGGCCGTCTTGCCCATCTTCTCCTCTAGGTCCAATCTCACCTTCAGGCCCGACCAATCCACGTTCTCCACGTGGTCCAACTTCACCTCTGGGACCTTCTGGACCAGGTATTCCTTGATCACCTTTTTGATTGCTTTCACCACCTTGCCCATCAGCTCCTCTAGGTCCAGTCTCACCTTCAGGACCGATCAATCCACGTTCTCCACGTGGACCAGCTTCACCTCTTGATCCATGAAGCCGACCAAACGCCTTCCATTTCGAGCTGAATTTCTTGTACACGATGAGCGTGGTTGCATCGAGATAGAAGTCACCATTTCTCCCTACAGAGTTCAATGGCATGCCACCTCCGCTAAGCCATCCCAATCCCCGATCACCACGAGGTCCTTTCATCTTGCGCACAGTGTCCATACCAGTTTGCAATCTCGATGATGCTTGTTGGATTTCATTCTTGACCCAACCGGCAGGGACAGCACATGTCAAAGAACTATCATCGTACGCCAAATTACAGATGGAATGCTCGTTCATGTTGAGGTTAGCATCCATGGACACGGATCCATCTGTTTTCACGTGCAGCTCATCAGCTGCTATGGCTTGATCTGTGTAGCGCGTAGATCTGTTTTCCACATCTTCCACTTTGCTCTCATCGGCTTTCACCTCTTTCAGTTTCTCCACATCATGAACCAAGGTGTTTTCGGTGTCATCGTTCCCCACAACTGATTGTATTTCGGTAATATCATTCCGCATGCTTTGCATGTGCTTGAGGGAAGTCTCCTCCCCATCACTCCTATGGAAATGCGTAGCCCAGTACGCCATCTTCACACACACACACACACACACACACACACACACTGTTCTAATTATGATAGGAAATATTTTCTTTCTCAAATAAATCATTATGATACTCATGTGTGCTAGTGGTAATCTAATGAAGCGATGATATGTTAGCAAGAGAGAGAGAGAGAGAGAGAGAGAGAGAGTGAGAGAGCATGAAAAAAAAAAAAAAAAAAAAAAAAAAGGGGTTAGGATATAAAGTCTTTCTGATCAATCAATGTGGTAAGATAGACTAAGCATTTAGCAGATTCAAGTCCAGTGAATTGTCCGGTAGGGTGTCAGGGAGAGACGCTGCCGCCGCCACCGTTGTGTCAAACGCAATGTCAGCAGTCACGTTGTCAGCAGTGCTCCACTTCTTGAGGAATGCAATCACCAGTCGAGTCAATTCAGCCTCGGGAAGGTCTTGCACGGTGTCGTGATCCCTTTCACAAAGCCGTGAGTCTACAAACATCAGGGGGATTGCCGAAAGCCATGCCTTGAATTCGCACTTCTCCCTGTTGAAAGATATAGTGGAAGGATGCAGATAGAGCTGACACTCTTCGTTCATCGGGAAGTTGGGCACACCCTTGGTTGGCTTGAGATACAAAGCAGTCACACTCTTCCCTTGGTACATTGCAGGGAAGATGTTACTCCGTATCCTGTTGATATGTGGAGATCTCACGGCACGTCTCAAAGGTGTTGAGGTCTTCAGGAAGAATTGAATGAGATCGTCTTGTGAAGCCTGGACGTACAGCTTAAGTTGACCAAAGCGTCCTTCACATACCGTGCCATTGACAAGCATGCCCGGTAAATCACCGCGCGTATAGTAGAAATCGGTGCCAGGAGCAACATGATAGTCGTGGGCGGTCTTGCTGTACATTGCTTGAACACACTCTGCTGCCCCATCCGTAATAATGGTGGCGACACCTGGTAGTATGGTAGGACGAGGAGATGGCATCTTCATCTTAGGCAGAGGCTCCAGATTCGGATTACGGCTAGCACGTCGCTTGTAGAGACCGGGTTTCTTTATCGTCTTGATAGCGAACGGGTCAATACCCAAACAGTCCACAACATCTTCACCAGCAACAACAGCATCAGTGGCCATCATGATATCAGTCACGAGAGATCCAGTGAGATCCAGAGGGAGAGAGAGAGAGAGAAGGCTTGAGCAACGAAACAACAAAGGCAGTTGTGAGTGAATGGAGGACTGTGCTTGCACATATATACCCTTTTGACCGCCGCCGAGTTTGAAATAATATCCTATGGGAGGTGACGACCTTGGAGAACACGGTGAAATTGTTCAAGAATCAACCAATCAGAGGACACGGTGAGCAGATGATAAGATTTAACCAATCACAGTACGACTTGCACTTGACCTGTCGGAACATGTCTCGGTCATGACTGAACGTGTCTCGACCATGTCTCAGAACAGGTTCCCGAGAGTGTAAATCTCCAACGCATTGCTAACATTGATGACGTACTGCAGTCTTGGTAAATTGATAGAGTATGTTGGCAAGATCAGGTGGGAGAGAGGTCACGTGATCTACTAAATATTCCAGACTGTAGTCATGCCAACAATAGGCATCTATTAGAAGATGCATCATGGACAGGTCTGCAGGTGACATCAAGGACAAATTAACTTTCAGAGTGTTCAGCTGTCTAGCGGACAGAGGACCCTTGATGTGTTCCATGAGATGTAGAAGAAACATCAGTGGAAAACATGATGGAAGAGGTTGTGTAATGCGGCTGCTTCTCAACCATGATACATTACTGCGCGGTAAAGGAGAACGCAGTGTGCGCACTGCATCATGATCCTCATGAAGTATACACGATAATGCTATTGCATAGTTCATGCTTTTATAGCTGCTGGACTTCTTCATTGCTTGCAGTGCCTCTTGAACAGGGTGAAACTGTGCATGCGGTAAAGTGAAGTCGATCTTGTTGAGAAAATGTACAAGATGACGATTCACACCTTGAATGCGATGGGAATCCGTGTAGGTCTTTATGCTAGTACAACGCTCTCTCCACTTTACCTCGGGCATGTAAATGTCAGCCATTACCAATCCACACTGAGAACAAACTCTATGACCAGCATGCTCAACTTGTTCTTCACGATGATAACACACTTCTTCACTTTCCTCTATCTCCTTCTTCTTCTTCTTCTTCTTTTCCTCCAGCGCACATTGCTTCTTTGAACGTACATAAGCATACAGGATCTCAAATTCAGAATCCATTTTCACTGCACCACAACAACTTGAAACTGACTGGATCATCATTCAAGAACACACCTTTTATACTTACATTATCATGACACCATATTACCTTATTGTTTAGGGTAGAGCATAACACCCCAATACATATTTTTCAATAATACCCCCATATTTTATCCGCAAAAAAACCGGGCCAAAAATAATTTTCACCGCAAAAATGGGGTACTATTAGTACCCCATTTTTCAATAATACCCCATTTTTTGGGACCCGGGCGCCCCCTGGCACAGAACCCGCTCGTCCTTTACTACTCATGGCGCACCAAAAGCCAGCAAAAATACGCACAAACGCGTGGTTTCACGCGTACACGCCCCAGTTGTGACCAGAGCTTAAAGCGGGATTCACAGAAGCTTTTTTGCGATGCGACACGCGATGCGACGCGATCTGCGATGGATGCGGGCGATGCGAACTCGCGAAATACCATTCACAGAAGAAGTCAGCGATGCGACAAAGTTTTGCTGATTTGGGTACGTCACCATGATATTCGCGCGGTTTGACACAACTTGTAAAAATTTCAAGGCAACTCTTGCACCTTTGTACAACTTTGCTGTAGAAAAGGTCAAAATCGTACACCAAATCGCTTGTCGCATCGCATCGCATCGCAAAAGTTGAGCCAAGCTCAACTTCTGCGATGGCCTGCGATGGCCCTGTTGCGGCAGTTGCGTGGGGTCCGCGATGGTTGCGATTTGGGGATTTCCCGGTTTCGCGGCTGTCGCATCGCGTGTCGCATCGCAAAAAAGCTTCTGTGAATCCCGCTTAAGTCCGAAGATTGAGAACTTTTCCTCAACTTAGAAACAAGAGTTAGAAATGAAAAAAGAAAAAACTGGAGCCAACTGACTTGAGCCCAAACTGCCAGATTCTCAGTCAAAGAACTTGGGGAACACATTAAAAGACTAAGTAACAACTGAGAACATCTGTTTATAGAGAAGTAATGTAGACGACTTATGTATATACTATGTGCTAGTACAATACACAAGAACAAAGCTAAACCAGTTAAGGTATGCTATGTCGGGATCAATCTATTATTGCCCTCATCATCTTGCAAATAATAGATGCATAATTACTAATTAAAATACGACATAATTACTCTGCCGTAGCATGTTATGGGATATCAGTCTGCCTCAGATTTTCACTGATCTGAAATTGCAGATTTGAAATTTACAATCGGAGGAAATTATCAGGACTGGAAACACACTTGGTTAGCAGGGGCTCTTCACGTCCTGGAAACGTTCCGTTGGAGTAACACCGACTGCATGTGCCTGTCGAGTTTCCTGGACCGAATTGTGGATGCTATGGAAGATGGGTGGGTAAGTGGAAGGGCACCAGGTTAGTCCTGTCGGTAGTATTCCCCCCGGTTTATGAGTAACTAGTTACAATTACTGACACTTCATGCACTGCACTGTTCATCACCGTCACTCTATTAGACGACTTCGGTTGGAGTAGTTGTGGCCGGGTCGCTCTTTTGTTTGGTTATTGAGTAACTGGTCGTGGGTGTAGCAGCCTGGGTAGTGTTAGCGGACTCGTTGCTCTCTGTTGCGGAGAAACAGAGAGGACGCACACACAAGCATCTTAGCAAAGCAGACAACGGCATACCATCCCCTCTTCGCAAAATCTGATTTCAAAAATTACTATGGAAACCCACCAACATTTTGACTTTAGATCTTCACTTTTTTTGTTCCATATTGCTCTCCTGCACTCATAGTGCTCAGGGTGATATTTGAAAGGGGAACACTTAGGGCCCGGTCCCACATGCACTGGGGTTCGCTTCAGCTTGGAGGTTCTGCAACAGCGAGCCTGGTGTCGCTCCAGCAAAACCACGTGTGTATGGTCACGCATACAAACAGGGAAAACTCCTACTTCGGCGGAAAATGAGAGTAAAGTGGGCTCTGGTGCATACGGTACGGACAATAGACGAGGTCAATGACCATCTTGCACGCATTTTATTGCATGAGCATCATACGCATAAAAATTTCTTGTAGTAAGTCCTTATACAGCAGACCGTGGTGCTTTCCGCTGAAGCGAAACCGCAGAAGCGACAGTCTTGGTTCGAAAATTTTTGAGGAAGCGGGTTGGAGTTTCCACTGAGGCGGAAGTTCTGCTTTTCGCCGTTGCCATGGAATTGTTCGCTCCTGCGACGTCGCTTCAGTGGATCCACTACTTCCGAGTGCATGTGTGACCGGGCCCTAACAAGTTACGATACAGATGGAAACGCAAATTAGGAATTTCCTCAACTCTGAGGTCACCGGTGCTTCTGTCTATGCAGTCAGCTCAAAACCCGGAAGGTTGTCCCGAGCTCGGTCCGCTTGCCATCAAGAGTACATAAACAAGTGTGTGCAACTCGCGGATGGGTAGGCCCACGGCAGATTTTTTGTTGACGTAATCTTTTCGACGACGCTCGCGCTGCGAGTCTTTCGGAAAGTTTTCCCTCGTGCTCTTGGCCGGACTTACACTACAAGCCCAGTGCCAAGCACGTGCCCCAGACTAGGCATAGCCCGATTTTGCTAGCAATTATGCTAGCAAAATATCGAAGAATTCTGAAAGGGAATTTGCTAGCAAAACGGAGCAAAATATCGGTGTGTTCGCTGGAAATTTGAAGATTTTACACTTACAAGGTGCATGTGACTCAATTTCGCACAGTTTTAGCAAAACGTGACTCACTTTTTCTCATTTTTGCCCACACTTGATCCACTTTCGGTCACTTTTCCCACATGTGACACAATTTATTTTTTGGGGCAAAAGGGAGCAAAATATCGAGTGGCCTGGCAAATGAAAGCAAAATATTAACGATGAGAAAGCAAAATGTTGCGGCAAAATATCGAAGCTTCACTGGCAAAATCGGGCTTTGCCTACTCTGCACTGCTCTGCGGCAAAATGCGCGTTTCTCTGAAAAAAGGTGACGCCCACAAAAATTCTGCAGTGGGCGGGGGTATTTGCAGATTGTGCAGGAGAGATCCGGAGTTGCGCACTCTTGTTTATCTACTCTTGCTAGTAACTAGTAGCTACCACCATTTCTCTGGTTATTAAAGGTATGTCTTCGCCACCGTATCATTATTACTCAAAAAACTCTTTTCAGGAGCTGTACTGAGGCTTTTAAAACTCTTGTGAAATTGCAAAATCTGGGTTTGCGTTAGGGCTGAAAATCCCTGAATATTCGAACCTCTGTTCTTCTGCCTTCCCAGCTCGAACATCCGCGATGTGAAGAAAATTCAAACTGGAAAACGTGATCCAATCCGCACACAACTTCCGGTCCTTCTGCGCTCGCACTGCACATGAACCATCCTGACAAACAGTCCTACAGCGCAGTACCACAGGACGTGCTACGAAGTTGTTTTGCGAATTCCGTGTGTCCACACGTAACCATATCCATAGCTCAGTGGTTAGTATACCTGGCAACCATACCGCTTTTGGCCGAGCCTGTTCCAATTGCGAGGACAGTAATAGCACGAAAGAGCGAACCACAGATACAACCATTTTTTTACAAATTGCGTGTGAGGCGAGCCCGTCTGTGAACAGCATGCCCAAGAAAGGGGACGTTCCCTGTAGGTCATGGTTGCATGGCTCGTGCAAAGTAGAGGTCAGAATAGCTTGAGCCTCAGGAATCTGAGGACTTTGAATGACCATTCTACGTTGAGTACGTGAGCCGATGAAAATTTTGGTTGGAGGATACAGAGTTTTGCTCACACGCAGTAAGGCAGCTCTAAAAAAAGGCGTGACGGCTATTTTGTTGCTTGTACTTTGCATGTAAGAGCAATAGTTTGAGAGCCAAGATCTGTAGCACATCGCATCCATATGCCAACTGGGGGCGCATTTGGTTGGTACGACCTAGAACAGGATTCACCAGAACAGCGCGTTTGGTTGGCACTGCACCTGTTCTGGGTCGGCCAGAACATGTTCTGCTCGCTCCGGCCTCAAGGCCGGAGCAAACCGAGCAGTTTCACTTTTTCACTGTGAAGCCTGGCGGGAACATCGATTTTGGTCCCAAATGATCACGTGCACACGCTTTGGAGTTGGACTCTTCGTACTGTACACAGTCACCATGGTGACACATACACATTTTGAAGTATGTACTAAGTTTGGCATATTTTTCACAAAAATGTGCTCTGTTTCTGGAGTACCGTGTAGTTGGCATGGGGCTGCGCCATGTGCACAAGCTGTTCGATCCTGTTCTAGATCGTACCAACCAAACGCACCGTGGACGTACAGAAACTAAAAATGAATTGAAAACGCCCACTAGGTTGGTAAGTTAGTAACGATGATTCCGAGACCTTTCGTTTGAGGAGTTACTTTTGCCCCACCCCCACTTCCATCCAATATGCCACCGCCCCCGCTGTGCAGCATCTGATGGTTCTGTGGTATTCAGTGAAAACAAAAACTTACCAGGTGTGGGTGGGTAAAGGCAGGTTGTTACATTTGTACAGACACCGACTCCACCACACTCTTTGCCGCTGTCAGCATCGACCGAACACTGACTGGTGACTCGAGACTGGTCCACGCAGCGTTGCTTGTGGCACACGAGGTCCTTGTTAGCGCCGCTGGCATCACAGCGTGTTCCGTCCTTCACGAGCGATGGGTCATCGTGGCTTCTTGGCGGGGACGCGTACAAACCATTGCACCTGATTATACCGCCATCACCGCGTACGGGAACGGTTTTTGACAGAACATCACTACTGGGTTGGTTCTTTCGAGCAAGTGGAAGGCAGAACAAACTACCACATAGGGCATCTCCAGCCGCACAGGCTGCATAGGTTCCTGGGGTGGAATTGGACGATTTGAAACCACAGTTACCCGTACGTTCTCCAAAAACGTTCATGATCGCGAAGCAATCCTCAGGAGCTGACCCTTGATCCATATCGTTCCAGACACTCTGACACTGGCCAGTTCGTGATTGGCAAACTCCACTCCAGCAGGATGCTTGACTATTGGAGCAAGGCCAGCCGTTGCGTGCGGTCAGGTCCTGTGGACATGTGGCATTCTCGCCGTCGCAGTACTCTGCCACGTCACAGTCGCTGGTGGCGGCACGGCAGACCTGATCCCGGCGTGTCACGATGCGCTTGTTCACGCAGCATGGGTCCGTGTCCGCACACCCTACATTAAACCAACACACAACAACAACATTGGTCAGTATGCCAGACATTGGCATAACAGTAAGAAATCAGTCTACGAACGTCCCAAAGAAAAACGTGTGCAGCATGCAAATTATGCCCGCAGCAGACATCGAGAAAAAAAAGATGTGAGGTACTATTTAGGGACTTTCACAGTCTTTGAGGGGCACGGCATGACAGATGGAGCAGACTTTTGGCTTGTAAATCCACGGCCAATACTGTTCTTTTTGTCGAGATGCTGGATGGGCTTGAGTAGGAGCTGATTATTTCAATCCATTGGACCAGAACACATCCCATCCAACATCTACAACGGCCTGGCTACCCGTTCTATGGGGTCTGGTGATGGTGAAAACTCACATCAGACGATGTAGTGTGCCTGTAGTTCCAACCTGTTCTAGTGACCACTGGGGAAAGCTTAATTTCTTCACTCCACTCGGCCAGTGGAGTAGAAAATTTGCATTTCCCTGACATAAATCTACTCGGCTTACATCATCGACAAACCATTCACGGCGGCTGCAAGCAAGGTCAAACCATTATATCAAGAATCCATAATCCTCCAGAGTGCGCAACTTCACTGATCAGATCTGGGACGAAATGCGTGTTGAACGTCATAGTGTGACATCATGAGTAGGGAAAGTGTGAACCGTGGTTGACCGCGTCGACGAAATGACGCAAGTCCGACCCAAACATGACGTAAATCACGGATTACGCCGTCCCACAACCCCATCCTAATTGCGCACTCTGCGGGATTATGGACTCTTGATGATATTAATGAGGCAGGGACACTCCACTTCTCAAAATCCGCTGTGATCAAGTCCCGCTTATGTTTCCCGGGTGACACAAAATGGGCATTTTGCAACAAGCCAGGAGACCAGAAGTTGCTGGAGCCGATGACCGCCGTTCATGCATGCAAGTTGGCTCAACTAGTCCAACCGACGACAGGCAAATCAACTACTACAATGTACCATACTTTCCAGAGGAATCGCCGTACCTGAGTATTATCCGTGCCCAGATTATACCCATTGACCCTTTACATCGTGGTGCATTAATTTTAACCACTGGAGTGTGAGCAGCACAGACCTTTTATTTTTTGGGGGTGTAAATTAGGAGTGTTTAAAATGCGGACTGCAATCCGAACACATGGCATTACTTTCACTGGACATAGATTTACAAAGCGAAAGAAATGTAACTGCAACATGCAGTACGCACGCCGAAGGAATGCAGCGTATTCGCTTCATTAAGTAGACACTTACCAGTCTGGCACCGGTCACCAATCCATCCTTCAGCGCAGGTGCAGGTGCCGTCTTCATTACAGCGACCCTGGTTCAGACATGTTCTGCACTCTGCAGCAGTTATTGTGTGCAGTGCATGACGTACATATTGTTTCAGTGCACAACAAAAATAGCAACAGAACAGCACAGCATGGTTAGTACATGATTCATGATCATCATCGGGTGCAACACGTCAAAGCAGTTTTTTTAAACATCCAGATTACACAACACCCCAGGTGCACTTTGGGGAGATCCACCACATTCAAACGGAATGATAATAGTAGTAGTGGGTCTGGATCTGGATCAGGGTATGAAGAAACGATCACAACCTCAGCCTTATATGCAATGAGTCAAAATAACTGTTTGCATTGACAAAAATGAATATCTTGCTACCTACCGAGTTGGCAATGTTCTCCGTAGAATCTTGTCGGGCAGATGCATTTACCCTCGTTGTCACACTGACCCTGGTTCAAGCACTTGCAGCCATCTGTAGAGATACGATATGTTCATGCATGCGCAACAAGAGCAGGGAATGGCAAGGAAAAGCATCACGGCATGCTATGCAATGAGAAGCATGAAGGGAGCAATTGAACCACAAACAAGTTACCAGCGGTTGAGCCAGACTGTCCAAGCACCAGATTTCCCAGAGTATAAAAGCCACACATCACTAGTTCAACCCCAAAAAATTAGGGGCGAGGCCTATTCTGCGTCAAATTAATTAACGGCGATAGATAGGGCAGTAAAAGTGGGGAGGCTTCCTGCATTTTCATAAACAGTTGAGAGTAGAGCCCACACGCTCTCTTCCATTAACACTGCAATAGTTCAACTCATTTCACAACAATTATTCCAACGTTTCGGCAAATTGCCTTCATCAGGTTCACAATGATGTGCATCCTTCCAAACTATAGGGTAGGTAGCTGCATTTCGTGGCAAAAAAATCTGGGTGTGGAAATACGGTCGTGACATCAGCACCTGGTCATGAACAGTATTTTCCAGAGTAAAATCCACATTCGAGTATAAAGGCCGATTCACAATACAACTTCTAGCAACGCGACATGCGACTTGTGACACCTGCGACGAGCTGCGACAAGCCGTGACAGCGACACACAGTTCACAATCTTTTTTTCATGTATGCGAAATCCTTATGCACTAGTGTGCAGAGGCCACTCGTCAAGATGGCAGCAAATCCGAGAGTACAAAAATTTCGACTCTGGCTATGTGCGCGACGGATGCAAATCTCGCACGTGCATGCAAAATCTAGCCTACTACAGATCTGGGTAGAGCCAGTGTGTTGGAACGACGACCTTTTCCGAGAGAGAATGTGGCTCTTTTTATCCTAACATTTTACTGGCCACGCTCTCCCTCCCAGCTTATTGATACGAGTATCTGCTACCGAGTAGAAGTCTCCATCTTCACAGCAGGCCAGGCAAAAGCGAAACATTGAAATACTTTGCTCACTTGGTTTTTTGGCTCTTTGAGGTGTTGATGTGGTTGTTGTGTACAACTCAAAGTGACAAACTTGAGACCCCCGCACCACAAAGTTTCGTTTGGCTGTTCAATAAAAGGACATATGGAACCAGGGATAAAAACTATCGTGGCTGCCGGCCAAACTCCTAGTAATGTAATAAACGGGGGTGTGACATTGGTAATTCCAAGGAGACTGTACGCACGGCCATTCCACAACGAAGACGAAACTACGAGCTCAAAAACGCTCCGATTTTCAAACAAAAGACGCAGGAAAGAAGACATGGCCGCAGCGTTCCCGTGTAGCCTTCAAAATGCCTAATTTTACTTCGATAGCGTCTGGTTCAGGGCAAATTCAGGCCCAATTCGACCGCATCGTACCGTTCAGATTCGCCCAAAATACGAGGATATGTACGGTAGATCCGAATGCGTACGCATTTTGAGTACGGGGACGACTGGCCAGAGTTCATGCACTGCAAACACCCGTGTAGTAGTACTATGCACGTGCACTGCATGAGCACCCAGGGTAGAAACTGTACTCCATTTGCGCATGTCGAACATCACATGTCGCAAAAGTTGAACTTTCTTCAAATTCTGCGACAGGTGACTTGCGACTGTACGCGACAGCTCAGGACAGACAGTTTCTAGTTGCAACTGTCGCAAGTCGCGTCGCAGAAAGTGGTGTTGTGAATCGGCATTAATTAAGCTGCCCTTGAGTATAAGCCACACGCGGATTTTGTTGGTCCTTAAATATAGACAGCAGTATACCCCGTTCACCAGCGGGTTATTTCCATTGTAGTACATGTATAATCCACACAGACTTAGACAGTTTTATCCTGCAGTCTTACCCTTTTCACAGTAGTCTCCATAGAAGACAGTGCGGTTGCACTTGCAACTCAGGTCCTGGGCCAGAACGCCATTAGCACAGTGCTCTGCGCAGAAAAGACAACACAAAAGGCTCCATTGCATCACTCGCTCACAGTTCGCTACACTTGAATGTTCGCAGCATCACAACACACTGAATTGAGTGGAAAGTCCGGTTAAAAAATTATATCAGGGCATGTCGGACTGTGGGTGTTGATTTGAATGGTCCATATCAGTGGAAGCTGCAGGTCCATCGCTAATCGGATATTCCTTATCCAACGTCAGCACCCAGTCAGCTCGGCAAGCGTTGGGCAAGGACACTAAAATTAATATGTTGCCACTTCTTCCACCACCGAATGTAACGCAGTTTGTACAGTGGTCCATGCTTCATGTGCGTGACGAGGTATCTTGTCATTGTCGATTTAAGCTCAAATTTAAACTCATTTGCTGCTAAGCCAGCGCTGTAGGTGATGCCAATGTATATGATACTCTCGGTAAGGCTCTCAGCCCCATACTATCACATAATTCTACGTCTGCAGGGTGAATAGCTCAGAAATGTTTTCTCCCAGAAACAAAAACACAACCTAAATCTCCTTTCATGAAGTAGTGCCAAAGTTTGAATATATTGCTGGGACAGTCAGACCTCACTTATCCGGTCCTCTTTTATCCGGGTCCCTTGCCATCCGGAAGAAAATCGTTGGTTACCGATTTACAGCATATGCAGTGCATACATACAGTAGGTGTGTTCGATTATCCGGTTCCCTCGCCTTGTTTGCAACTATTCTACGCACATACGAAAGTGTACATGCCTCCGGACAAGCAAGACAAAAACAGGCTTCGAGGATAACCAGTTTTGAAACTGTCTTAGGTCATGTTCGTTTGGTAGGATCGGGATCTCGATCCACCGGATCCACTGGATTCGCACCCTTTCGATTGGTCGAATCCGGATCCTTTGGATTTGGATCCCGTCAACCCACCTCGGGGAGCGGGGTTGCCCGAACCAACGGATCCTTTTTTGCCACGACAACTGCACATTTGGCGGGACCCAACCCGCGGGAATGCCTTTCCTCGCGCCTTGCACAGCAAAAGTTTGGTTGTTTCATTCCTTTGTTATTTTTTGGTTTACCGTTTCAACCATTGCGTATCCTTTGCTGGCAAACAGCCCTGAGTGGCAGCGAAATTCAACATATGGAGATGCGGAACCCGTTGGATCCATGGAGCTCTTTTCCCTCGGGCCACCAACAGTCGACGGGGAAGTTTCGTTTTCTTCCATTTGTGCTTCGTTCCAATTCAACTCACTCCAATTTTGGCTGTTATTGCGGCTTCTACCACTGCGGCTCATTATGCGGCAACTAGCCCACGTTTGAAGCGGAATTCAACACATATGGACATGGAGATACGGAACCCGTGGGATCGGGAGCACTTTTCACTCGGGCCATCAACACGTGGAGGTTTCACATTAGTCCGTTTATGCTTCGTTCCGATTCAACTCACTCCAATTTTGGCTGTTGCTGCTTCTACAACTGCGGCTCATTGGGCGGAAAATAGCCGACATGTACAGCAAAATTCAACATATGGAGATACGGAACCTGTGAGAGCCCTTTTCACTTGGGCCATCAGCACGTGGAGCTTTCACTTTCTTCCATTTGTGCTTCCTTCCAATTCCAATTCAACTCACTCCAATGTTTGCTGTTACTGCTTCTACAACTGCGGCTCATTGGGCGGCAAATTGCCAAGATTGGCACCGAAATTGCAAACATGGCCGGACCAGACCGGAGAGATGATCCTAGTATGGCGAGAATGACGTGAGGGACAACTTTTCCTCGCATATAAAAGGCATTCAGCACGATTAGTATTCACTATCTCCCTCATCTTTCTCGTTCCTGACAATGGCAGCTGAAAGTCTTGCGTCAAAGCCCCCTCAGCCCAGTGGCCAAGATCGTAGGCCTGGCTTTCAGTGGACAAGACGGCTGACGCCGGAACTAATTTCGGCACGGTCTGAAAATGACGGCTTGTTTCAAGACATCAACTGGACGAAAAAGAGTGTGTGGAACCGGATTTCCCAGCGAATTGCAGTAACATTCCCGGACGAGGAACTACATCCGTCTGCAGAACAATGTGAAAACAGATGGAAAAACCTGATGAAAGCGTACAAAGCTTATGTGGATTCGCAGCAAAAAACTGGGGCTGACCGTAAACAGCCGCCTGCTTTCTATGATGAAATGAATTCTACGTTTGGTTGGAAGCCCAACATCCACCCAAAATGCTGGTTCCTGTCACTAGACCCCCAAAGCGTCCAGTTGAATTGTCGGATTCGGATGACGATCAGGATGGTGAAGCAAGAGTATCATCCGCTCCGACCACACCGCAATCTACCCCAGTCCGTCTCAATGCTCCAGCAGGTGCATCAGCAGCCGTGGCAACCCCTGCCGCTAATGATGAGGAGAAGTGCGTAAAGAAGAGGAGAAAGCGGTCTGGAGGGCAGTCCAGTGACGCCCTGGAATGGCTCAAGCAGACGAAATGTGAACATAGAACCTGGCAAGAGCATAAGCACAACGAGCAGATGGCAATACTTGGCGACCTTACTGCAGCTGTCAATAGGCTTCCAAAGCAGTAGAGGCATACTTCGAAGTACTATTTATGTATGTATCTATTGTGAGTTTGTGAAGCATACAGCATGTGTTTCTACATAACATCCAATGCTACATGCACATACATACACACACACACACACACACACACATACACACACACACACACACACACACACACATACACACACACACACACACACACACACACACACACACACACACACATACACACACACACACACACACACATACACACACACACACACACATACACACACACACACACACATACACACACATACATACACACACACACACACACACATACACACACACACACACACACACACACACACATACACACACACACACACACACACATACACACACACACACACATACACACACACACACACATACACACACATACATACACACACACACACACACACACACACACACATACACACATACACACACACACACATACACACACACACACACACACACACACACACATACACACACACACACACACACACACACACACACATACACACACACACACACCAATGAATCGGTGATGATACTTTGCATCTACAATTTTTATGTATCCCTCTCTCAATGATGTATCATTCAAGATACTCGAGTTTGTGCTTATTTCACTGCTTATAATGAGAAAGTACTACCTACGCATTATCGAGTATCATCTTCTGGTTGCGTGTATGTGTGACGCGGTTTGCGTTCAAGCATGGGGTGGCAGGGAAGACTACCAATCACACACTACTGCCTACTTGCACGACACTATTCCTTGCCATTCTCTGCAGTCAGTAGCTGGCACCCAAAAGCTTTTCACACATGCTTTGATTTGAGAACAGTTGCATGGAAGGTAGAGTGTGGAAAGAAATGAGGACCCTACTCAAATACAGCAGAATTATGCGAAGAGAGTAGTAGAAAGTCAATAATTGTGAAAGTCTGCCTTCCTCTGTTAAGCAATGAGATCAACAATTCGGTTGCGCTTGTCTGCGGCACTGGTGTTTGGTTGAAAATACTACGTTGGATTAGGTACATCACCTTCAGGTAGGTCTTGAAGAAAGTCACCGACATCGTCTTCGTGCATGATGGCCATATTGTGCAACACACAGGCGGCAATGGTGATATGGGTGGCGTTCTCAACATTCACAATATTTAGATACTTGAGTTGCCTCCATCTTCCTTTCAGCAATGCGAAAGCTCTTTCAATACACATCCGTGTTGACGAGTGCCTGAAGTTATAATTGGTCTGACTTGCTGTGCGGTGACCATCATCCCTGAAGGGAGTCATCAGCTTCGGCTGTAATGGGTACGCAGAATCTCCAACGATAAAGGCTTCTCCAGAAAAGAAACGACGAGCATCTTCAGTGACCAACTGCTTCAGGGGACTGTTTTCGAATACTCTGGCATCATGCACAGAGCCAGGCCAGCCACAATACGCATCCGTAAATAGCAGGTTCCTGTCGCAGACTGCTTGTAGAATAACGGAATGAAATTTTTCCTGTTCAGGTATGTCTCAGGTGCCTCATTTGGTGCTGCAATCGGGATATGGCAACCATCAATCGCCCCCATGACGCCGTGGATGTGCTGAGCTGAATGAAATTCTGCTTGCGTCCTCTCTGCACCTTGCCCCTGGGGCCAACATATCAATAACGGAGCCATGTCCTGCAAGGCAAAACACACACGCCGTACGCTGTGCCATACTGTCGATTTGGATAGACCAAACTTGTCTGCCACCTCTCTGATGGTGCTCTTACTGCCAAGCCACCAAAGAGTAACCAAAAGTTGCTTGCGCACGGGTATAGGCTTCCGACCTCCATTGCCCTGCACAGCTATGTGGACAGACTGGGATAGCTTTGTGCATACAATTTCCATTGAGGCCAGGTTGGTGGGACAGTACACAAATCTCATCAAACAAATCAGACGGTATCTCCTCACTTTGCAGGATTCTGGGAACTACCACAGCTACAATGCCAACTACGACACAGATTTTCCGTCGGCAAATCTCATTATCTCCTTCGTCCATGATGCTTGCTACCGAAAAATGGAACTGCACAAGACCTCACGAGGCAGGAGAACAACAGCTAACTTCACAAGCTACACGTGGAATGGAATGGAAGTGGAACAGTGGCTTTTTATGGACTTGAAATGGTCCTATTATGGAGGCGGAAACATGATCGCAGAACCCTGCTAGCTCACGCGTTTAGATTTGAATTTCAAAATTTATTACAAAAATTGACCGGTACCTTGACAACCTTGGCAACTTTCAATCGCCATTTTTGTACGTCATCATTACGACGACCAACTGTGCTAGCCATCATTCGATTGGAGCTGGGAGGATCCGAGTGATCCAAGATCGGGATCGGGAACCGGATCCCATCAATCAAACATGCCCTTGTTGATAAAATATTTTTAGGATATTAATACTGCATTTGAATAAT